ATTCCTCCTCGTACAGCCCAGCATCTTGGACGATAGTTAGAATTATGAACATCTTAACTGCTTTGTCTTTAGGCATGCAGTGGATGCAGTTTGTGCAGTGAATAGTTTGCACGTGGCTAGGCCATTTTTTTACACTACTTTTGTTTTTCCTTTTCTTTGTCATCTTGGAAGCAAGGGCCTGAGAGAGATCAAAGGCATCAATTTTTCTTGTATCATCCCTAGCCATTGTCCAGATTTCTGATGCATAGCAAGTAATTGCAAATACCATGGCCTCAATCAGGTGCACCTTAGTCTCCAGACTGGCATTGTTGCTCTTCAGTACTCTGGAGAGGTCCCTGCCAACAGACTTTCCCAGTGCAATTTGTCTTTTGACTTCCTGGCAGCTGTTACCAAGAGGGTTGATTGTAGAGCCAAGCAAACTGAAACTGTTAACAATCTCAATCTCTTCATCCTCTATCATAATGCTGCCAATTGGCCCAGTGGTGAGAATCTTTGTTTTCTTTTTTTTTTTTTAATAAAAAAATCTAGATTTATTCTCCAACAGGCAGACAGCATCAGCAGTTACAACTAGAGGGATTACTCCATAGATTATACATTCAAAAAAAGGCATTATTAGCATACAGTCCCCGGTGTGTTCTCTGTAACAATATTCACTTCAGTGTAAACAGATACAATTATTGTGGTCACAATTCCAGAAGGAAAGGCACAACTTGGCAAAAAAAAACAACCCCACAAACAACCAACAAAACCCCAAACAATACACACACACACACACACACACACACACACATACACACACAGATAGAGAGAAAAAGGGAAAATTTTTTTGATCCTAGAAGGTCAGGTGCAATTAATTAGACTTTTGTAACAGTCTTGACCCACCTGTCACCATGCCCTATATGGAGGGTAAAGAATCCTCTGCCCTCAAAATTAGAGCTTTTTCTAAATTCTTCTTCCTCATTAAACCAAGACAAAGATTTATAGTTTACACAGTATCACATGTAGTACAAAAAGAGATTTAGGGGCGGGGTGAAATCACCAAAAATATCTCCAACGTCCAAACTGCTCCCACTAACACACCAATTCTTAGGTTTAAGACATGGCCTGGGAAGAGTTCAGTGGTCCCAGAAATAGGAAAATAGAGGCTATGGCTACAAGAACATTAAAAGGAAAATGAGGTAGATAAATTAAAGCTTTTATACCTAGGACGTAGGACTTGCCTGTTCCAACTATGCAGCCTTCATGTAGCTGTCAGGGAAGTGTGTGTGTGTGTGTGTGTGTGTGTGTAGAAACATCTTCATAATTAGTTGGCTTAAGTCACCAAGGAAAACGATTTCTTTAAAAAAAGGAGGGGGCAAAAAAAAGGAGGGGGGAGAAAAAAGGAGAGTATGTGAACCTGTAATGAGAAACATACCTTCCAATGAGAGTTTTTTCTCAAGAACAAAAATCCCCAGATCTTCCAGAGAGAAGAGAGGGTTGGGGAGCTTAATTAAGTCACCTGAGGTTCCCTATGCAGGTACTCACCTGTCATCCTGGCATTCAGGAAGACAAGAGGTGTACACAATACATGGGGAGTACGCTGGAATTCTTGGGGAGGGAGGCCCTCTAAATGAACTGTATTAAATAAGCAGCAATGTACACACTGATTCCCAAAGGACTAATCTGTCCATGACGTCACCCCACTCATTAGGCAAAGGTTCTATGGTTGAAGGACTTGTTGCATTCTACAACCTCAGTTTTGAAAAGACAGTACATTCAAAAGAACAAACTGTGTGTGGGGTGGGGAGCACGATGGGAGCAGGGTTGGGGTGACTGTACGAAGCAGGTCACGAAGACAAGGTAGGAGACCCTAGCCACTCACCCGCCTGTCTAACAGGTATGTTAGCAAGGATACAAGCCCCCTACCTCCCCATTGCCCCTCACTCCGTTATGCAGCTGTCTTTTCTGCTGTGGTTCCACCAGTTCCAAGCATCCCACCTTCAAAGTGGTGGCAGAGACAGGGTTTTGGAAACGTCACTGCAAGTGGTCCAAAGGTTCTGTATAAAAAGTTTGTCGCAAGTAAAGCTGCTTTGCAAGACCCGCTTCTTTCCAAAGTTAAACAAAAATACTAGTCTTCTGTTAAGCATGATTTCTTTCCTTTTTCAGATTTCTTCCATTTTTGCAAAGCAGCATAGCAACTTCGTTGATGAGAATCTTTGTTTTCTTAATGTTGAGCTTCAATCCATATTGAAGGCTGTAGTCTTTGACCTTCTGCAGTAAATGCCTCTGGTCCTCCTCAGTTTCAGCATTATAACTAATTACATTAATCAATTATAGTTAATGTTCTAAAACAAAAGATCTATGAATGATTCAAAGAAAATGCAATAAGGTTTATAAATTTCCACTCAAATTAAAAAAATATTAAAAAGTAAAAAGAAAATAAAATTTGGCCCTTACAATCTTCCAAATCTAAAATGAAAACTCAGGTTTTTTTTTACTCCTCTGGAAAAATCAGAAGATCCAGATACAATTACTTGAGTCTAGTGAAGCATGCTCCTTTAAGATGCGGCAGAAGGAAGTAACCATAGTTCTGATTTGCCTGGACAGTCCCCATATATGTCTTCTGTTCTATGTAATTATGAATATAAAGTTCATTTCTTAAACATGTTCTAACTTGCATGATAAATTATAATAGTCTTAGTAATGGGTCACAGTCACCATCGCTCTTCATTACATCTCACTCAGTAATCCTTTTGCATTTATGTTAAGAAACCCTTCCAGGAAGAAATTCGAAGAGAAGACAAGTCCATCCTGCCATAAAAGTTTGCTGAAAGAATGAATGTGTGGACTCAGAATAGACAGAACATCCTATATAGTAGGGAGTAATTAGAGATGAGTTCCTCTGATAGAGACATAATTTATCAATACCATTCCTTTCCCTTAATTAATTGTTGACAATCTGGGTACCTGCATGGCATAGTGCCTTTTTTTCCCCCTTCGTAATTTATGTTGTTTGTTATTGTAAAAAGAGCAAGGACAGCATGGGGCAGCCAAATCTGACCTCTGTGAAGTCCACGAGGAGGAACTTCTCCCATCAAGAGCATCCACAACAAAGTCAATTCCCATGAGGTCAGACATGCCTCCCTAAACTCCTTCACTGACTTCTGCTGATTCCAGCATAAATCTTACTGCTATACTGGATTCAAAATCTGTTGCAGTAACGACAGACCTCACAGAACCATGTTAATAATTATAGGGTTTATTAGGGAAATTAACAGGTTACAATTCAGGTTGGCAACAGAATTTCTGTCAGGACAGGGGTTGCTGGTTTTTTTTCCCCCCGTTTTTTTGTTTGGGTTTTTTTTTAAATTAATTCTGATGAAAGTTTACAGAGACTTTGGATTTCCATTCATTCATTGTTGCACAATGTCAGGACAGTTTTTGAAGCATGCTCACCAGCCTTTCAACATTCAGCCTTGCAGATTTAGGTCAGTGTTACAAAGATTTCTTGTTGTTGTTGTACCACAGAGTTGGAACTGAGCCATAGCTGACCCTCCAGCGAGTTTTCAGAGGCAGTAAATCGCACAGCAGGAGATTGCCCATCTTTCTCATATGGAGCAGCGGGTTGCCTTGAACCCTGTGCCTTCATGATTGCAGTGCAGCTTCTTGCTAATAGGCCATCAGTGCTCCCGAGCCTTGTCAATTATGGCATTTCTTTTCTGCCTCCCACCAAAGTCCTACAGCAAGCTTGGATAAAAGACCCTAACTCTGGTTCAGTGGAGCAGCAGTCCCAGGTCAGCTCTGTTATCACATCAAGTCTCTGGTTCTCTGCTGCTGTTGCTCTTGTCCTGTAAGTTCAGGTTTGACTGGTGCAGGAATCTCTGACTCCAAGGACACTTACTGCATTATCTGCTGATAATGAGATCTTTTTGTCAACTGAATTTGCTAAATTTAAGTGTGGTGAATGGTGAAACTGGTCATTCCCCACGTGGAGAGACAAACACACGCTATTTGCACGTTTTCTTCCCAGCCATGTGGCAAAGTTAGGCAAGTGGCCTAGGAAAGCCATTTTGAACAATAGACCCACTGTACTACAGTTATTATGCAGTTATTTTATATGTATTGGCTTCTTTTCCCTGTAGCCCATATCCTGTAATAACAGGGACCACAAGTGCCCTGCTGACCTTCTACATTCTGTGTATGGCTGCTAACAGGTTATGGAATTGAATTCACCAATCTTTCAGAGGGATAAAGATGGGTTGTCTCCTTCCATAAATGAAAATTTGATGGAGAGCTGGACTAACTTAACTCCAGGGCAGCAGTTTTGAGAATACATCCTCAGTGACCCATTTGGTATCAAGATTATAGCAAGAACTATTAACTAAACAGATTTCCAGAAATTACTAACTGAATGAGAGCAAGGGAGCTCTGGGTAGCTTAGGGTAAAACGAAATGTGCAAATTATAAAGCTGTAAATCCGAACCCAACAGCTGCTTGCTTGCTCTATCGGAGAAAGATGGGCAAGACATACAACGTCTGAAAATGCGCTGAAGAGTCAGTTCCAATCCAACAGCAATAAAAACAATAGAAAATTTATTAAATGAACAGGCACGGAAATTAAGGCTTTTGTGGAGGCTTTTGTGGTTTGGTCAGATCACAATGAGACAGGATTCAGATCTAAAGTTCCAAAGTCTTTTCCTTGTAAACTGACTGCTGCAAACTCCGCAAATGGGCAAGAAACGGGAAAAGGCGCACTCAAGGACTTGTCTTCGATCTCAGTCAATTTCGCTAAAGACACAGATTTGAGAGGTAGGAAAAATGAGCGTAGCTCGGTAGACGAAAAGCCACAATCTCTACTACCTGCCGCCCTACCTGAGATAAGACTACATTCCCCAGCAAGCCCCGCGTCACGCACGGCCTTGCCACGTAGCTTGAGCCTCCACCGTCTGCCGCTAGGGGCGCTGCGACGACCCCTCCGCCGCCCCGTAGAAATCTCCGCGGCCCCGGAGCCGCTCGCTTCCTGTTTGTACGACTAGGAGACATGGCGGAGTCGCCGGCGGCGACTGGGTCTGGGGCCGGCCGAAGGCGCAGGGCAACGGCAACGGCGGCTGCTTGGGGCGGTTGGGGTGGCCGACCCCAACCCCAGAACATTCTGCTGCAGTTGCGCCAGGGTCAGCTAACCGGCCGGGGCCTGGTACGGTCTGTGCAGGTATGAGGCCGGCCGGAGGGGCGGGGCGGACCGGGCGGGAGCTGGCGGGGGCCGGGAGGAGAGGCCTGTTCTGGCCGCGGAAGGACGAGGCAGTCTTCCTTTGGCTGGCCGCAGGACCTCCCTTTGGAGAACTCAGATGCTGTCAGCCGCAGCTGGATCAGGGACCTCGGCCGGCTGGAGTTCTGGGTCAGGGGCCGAGTAGACTGGGCTGCTGTGGGTAGTGATGGCGTGTACGAGAGCCGTGGGCCCTGCGCCTGGATCCTCCCTTCCCTGCGCCACGTCTACACGTCCCAGAGACCCTGGGCGAGTTTGCTTAGTCTCTGTGAACCTCGAGTATCTCCTCCGTGAGTTGGGGGGATGGGGATTGCCCCTGCAGCCCTCAAACGGTTCCCCAGCGAATCTTAATTGTCATTTTCTCCTGAGAAGGCCCTTCCCTGACACTCCCCTCCCCTCACCTTGTTATTCTGTCACAGCACTAGTTCATTTCATTCACATTACTTTCTTCATCTGTATTTACATATTTCTTTGTTGTCTGCCTTTTTCTCGCCTGTCTCCCACATCAGGCGCCCCAGTGGTGCAGGGACTGGGTCTGTTTTGCGTGTTCAGAGCGTCATGCTTTAGAGTGAAGACTCTGGAGTCACAGGCCTGGGTTCAAAACACTACTTGCTCTTGCTTGGGCAAATTACCTTTTTGTGCCTCAGTTTCCTCATTTGTAAAATGGAGTGGTAATTAGTAACCTACCTATTAAGTTTGTTGTGTGAATTAAAGGTGTAAAGCATTTAGGTTATTTCTGGTGCCTTGCAAAAGCTTGAAAGGTAATCTGTTAATGTCTTTGGCATCTGGATTGTAATGAACAAAAAACAAATTTAAAAATGCCCGGCCGTTTCAGTCGAGTTAAACTCACGGATCCTACATTGAATTTCTGAGACTGTAACTCTTTCCAGGAAAAAAACAACAACAAACAAACCCCACTTAATCTCTAGGAGCAGCTGGTGGATTAGGAACCTTTTGGTTTGCAGCCTGACGCTGTTATAATGGCTGCTAGATGTATCATTTAGTAACTTTTTTGAATGAGTGAATAATTGCTTTAGAAGGAGGAAGGATGAATAAGTCTTACACCCCTCCCACCATGTTGCCAGAACTTCCATTCCAAACACACTTCTAAAAGATTAGCCTAATTTAAGACATCTTTTACATAAAATACTCTTGAAGGGTATTAAAAAAATACTGGTCGGGAGTTAGGAGCTCTGGTAGCATATCTGCCAAGGGAGCAGTAGCTTCTCGGGCAACTTGAGTCCAACAGTGGCTAAGGGGGAGAAAGGTGAATTATCTCTTCCCATGGTATTTACAACCTCAGAAACACCCTGGGAACGACTGAGGCAGTTTTGGCTTGACTGGAATAAGAAGAAAGTAAGGCAGTAAGACAAGTGCCTTGCTAGCCCCAAGGCTGACTCTCTGAAGTTTCTAGAGCCTTCAGGGAGAAAGGCAGTCTCCTCCCATCTGGTTTACAGCCTTGGAAACCCGGTGGAGAGATAGCTTTGAGTCAGTTCTAAATGAGAGAGAGAAAAGAGAGAGAGAGGAGAAGTGATTGTGAGAGTGGAATTGAAATTGGGGAGTTGGGGGACAGAATGTAACAGTGTCTCCCTCTCGACTTCTGAAATAGCTCCTCTTCTCATGCAGTGATCAGTTACCATGATAACCAGCTAACCATGTTTGAGAATATTCCAGTAGTCTTCTGTCTGGTGAACTGTGGTGGAGTAGTTCGAGCAAGTTGCGCTGCTCAAAGGCTGTATGTCCCTGATGGTTGGAATCCACAATCATCAGCTCAGGGAGAAAGATGGGAAGTCTTTTCTCATTGTGATTTGCAGCCTGGGAAACCAATTGAGGGTCCCTGTGTGTGGGAAGCAACCCAGTGGCAGTGAGTTTCAGAGTCGTTCTGTCTGTTGAAATAACATTTTTAGTATTTTTTAAATTTTAATTTTGAGCTGGTTGATGATCGGATGTTCAGATGACTAAAAGACAGTGTGAAGTAATGTGTGTACGTTACAGATGGAAAGAGCCATTCTGGGTGAGCAGTCATTTATCTCCTAGACATCAAACAATCCCAGATAAGCAGCTTTTCACCTCTTTGATTGCTCTCCCTTTGCCTGGAGAAGATCCTGGAAATACTTGCTCTCTGCTGCTTTAAGCCAAGAGTGAGATCTGATGGTGAAGGCCAAAGGGAGTTACACTGTTAACCTTAAAGCCACACCTGTCAAGTGGTTCAGATCTGTCAGTGGCTACAAAGGAGTAAGATAGGCAGTCTTATTCCTTTGAGATTTACATACAGCCTTGGCAACCCACTTGTGGGTCAGCTGTGAGTCAGTTCCGACTTGATGGCAGTGCGGGATCAATCAGTCTTGAAGTCACATGCCTTACTGAATTAGAATTAGATTTGTAGGGATAGGTAAAAAAGGAATGAAACTTGAGTAATATACTTTGGGCCAAGTATTGTATGCAGTATATGAGGTCTTCATTTAATAGTCTTTTGAATTGGGGCTAGGATTCTTATCTCTTTACAAAGATGAGGAAACTGAAATTCAGCCATATTAGATCATTTGCTCCTAAATAACTATTTTAATAATCCTCTGTGTTTTCTGAGGTAATAGGGAGAAATTTCTTCATTGTGATAAACAATTTGTTTCCAGTGGTGGATAGAATTGAGTAGGAAAGAGGAGATTGGAAAAGTTCACCAGAAAAAAGACCTACTGGGATAGTCTTGAGCCTGGTTAGCTAGTTATCATGTCATCTCTCTTTGTACACGGACACAAGGACTATCTCAGAAGTTGAGATGGAAATACCTGCCCAGAACTTAAGTGGACACCATCTGTTCTTTCAAATGTTTCTTTTCCTGATGATTTTCCTTGATTTCTTCCTTATCGCACCCTCTTCCCTGTCTCATGATATTGTTAGGTTCTGTTGAGTCATCTAGGACTCAGCAGCTCTGTGAAAGGCAGGTCTGAACTCTGCCTTATTCTGTGCCATCTTCACCATCCGTGATATACTCTGTGTAACCACTTTGTTGATCCATCTTATTGAAGGTCTTCCTCTTTCATGACCCTCCACCTTTCCAAGCATGATGTCGTTTTCTAAGGATTAGCACTCCTAACAGCATGCCCAAAGTGTGTGAGACAAAGTTTAGTTTCATCATCTTTGTCTCTAAGGAGTGCCCTGTCTCTGCCTTCTCCAAGACATACTTTTTTGCAACAATGAATGAATGAAAACCCCAAATCTCTGTAAATGTTCATTAAAACGAATAAAATTTAATAATAATTAAAAAAATAAGCAATAAAAAAAAGACATACTTTTTTTGCTCTTTCGGCATAAATTATTTCCTCACCATATTCTCATAGTGGAGTTCTGGTGGCCATTGTGGGTAATGAGTTGCACTGCCAACCTAAAGACAGACAGTTAGAATCAACTGCCAACCCAAAGGCAAGTTGTGTTTTCCTATATGATTTATAGCCTCTGAAAACCCACTAAAGAGTTACCACATAGTAACAGCAGCAATATTCCTGTAGCATAGTAAGCATACCGTTGTGAGTTTGTAGTATAATAAAGTCATTGCTGTTGAGCTGGAACTGGCTCAGCTGAACCTCCAGCAGGTTTTTGGAGGCTCTTAAGTGCATGAGAGGAGATTGCCTGTCTTTCTTTTAGCGCCTTGTGGATTTGAACTGCCAGGGAGGTGTGGCCTTTCCGCTAGCAGTGCAGCAGTCTATGGACTGTGCTACCAGAGCGTCCTTTGTGGTATAATGGAGGCCACATTTTGATATAAGATAGACCTAAAATGATTACCTGTTCTGTCATTTACTAGCTTCATGGTAGTAACCTCCCTGAGCTTCAGTTTCCTTATTTCTAAAATGGTGGTAGCACAGTGCTTTTAGGAAGTTTTAAGTGAAATAATGACTAGACATTAGCATTGAGTGACACGTTCCATGAATACTTGGTTGTTAACCTAAATATCAGCAGTTCAGACTTGTGAAAGAAAGACACGGCAGCCTGCCTTTGGGAAGATTACAGCCTTGGAAATCCCACAAGACAAGTTCTATTCTCATCAAGTCACCAAATCAGAATCAACTGATAATGAGTGGAAGAGGGTCCTGGGAGTATGTTAGCTAGTAGCTGTGAGAACAGGCTTCATGAGAGTTTATCTTGCTTTTCTTAATGTCTGCAGAGTCTGAAAGAATGCCAGATAACTTGCTAAGTAATAAAAAAACCTAAACAACCCCTCGAACTCATTGCTTTTGCATTAAAACTAACTCAGTTCACCAGCAGCTTTCCATGGCTATACATCGCTTGGGTTGTGATTGCTTATCTTTCTCTCACAGAGCCTTTGGTGGATCCGAACCTCCAGAGAGGCAAAGCCTTTAGGTTAACAGTGCAACTTCCTATAGACCAGACTATCAGAGCTCCCACATCATGAAATATTTAAAATTAAAAAGCTGTACCTGACGGCTAAGACTCCAAACAGTCCCATGGCTTTAAAGAGCTCCAGAATTGGATTGCTTGGGTTTGAGCCTGGCCCACGCTTGCTTTGTGTCTCTTTGGGCAAATTACTTACTTAATGTCTTTTTGCTTCACTTTCTTCATTTGTAAAACAGGAATAATAAATAGAACTTAACCTCCTAAGCAGCAGCTCTGGTAGCATGGTGGAGTAAGCATTGGACTGCAAACTGAATTGCTGGTCATTCAAATCTACCAGTGATTCCCAGGAGAAAGATGATGTACCCTGTGCCCTGGAAATTTTGCAGGGCAGATCTGTTCTGTTTTTACAGGCCATTATGAATTGGGATTAACTCCAATGGCAGGCAGTGGCAGGTGGTGGTAACCTTGTAAGAAGCTGCCTGGGTAGCCCAAAGGATTAAACACTAAGTCACTAACCAACCGGTGTATTGTTGGAATCTACCCTGAGGCACCAAGGGAGAAAGATCTGGTGATCTACTTTGGAAAGATTACAGCTT